ACTGCACAACGAGGCGGACAACATCACAAAAGTTCAATACGGCCATTCTTTGGGATACTAACAAACTCAACAAATTCAAGATAGTCCTCAACAATAAGTTACAGGCCTTTCATGATCTACTCAATAGAAAAGGAACTACTGTGGAGAGCAACTGGAAGGGGATCAAAGAGGCAATCACTTCAACATATCATGAGGTCCTGGGTCACAAGAAGCACCATCACAAGGAATGGATCGCTGTTGACACACTGGGTAAGATTCAAGAAAGGAGGAACAAGAAAGCAGCAATCAATACCAGCCGAACAAGGGCAGAAAAAGCCAAGGCACAAGCTGAATACACAGAAGTAAACAAGCAAGTGAAGAGGAGCATCAGAACCGACGATCGTAAATATGTGGAAGATTTAGCAGTGACGGCGGAAAAGGCTTCAATAGAAGGAAACATGAGACAACTGTATGACACAACAAAGGTACTACGGCATGCCTCAGAAGATATTTGATATCATACGGAATTGCTGTGATGGATTAAACTGCAAAATCGTGCATGGAGGACAGTTGACAAACTCATTCGAAGTAAAGATCGGTGTCAGGAAAGGTTGCTTACTCTCACTCTTTCTCTTTCTCCTAGTTATCGACTGGATCATGAAGACGTCAACATCTGAGGAGAAATACGGGATACAATGGACATCTAAGATGCAGTTGGACGATCTAGACTTCACAGATGATCTGGCACTCCTATTGCACACGCAACAACAAATGCAGGAGAAAACGACAAGTGTAGGAGCAGCCTCAGCAGCAGTAGGTCTCAATATACACAAAGGGAAAAGTAAGATTATCCGATACAACATAGCATGCACCAATCCAGTGACAATTGATGGAGAAGATTTGGAAGATGTGAAAACCTGTACATATTTGGGCAGCATCATTGATGAACATGGTGGATATGATGCAGATGTGAAGGCAAGGATCGGCTAAGCAAGAGCAGCATATTTACAACTGAAGAATATCTGGAACTCAAAACAACTGTCAACCAACACCAAGGTCAGGATTTTCAATACAAATGTCAAGACAGTTCTACCGTATGTGGCGGAAACCTGGAGAACTGCGAAAGCCATCATCCAGAAGATACAAGTGTTCATTAACAGTTGTCTACGCAAAATACTTCGGATCCGTTGGCCGGACACTATTAGTAACAACCAACTGTGGGAGAGAACAAACCAGATCCCAGTGGAGGAAGAAATTAGAAAGAAGCGCTGGAAGTGGATAGGACACACATTGAGGAAAACACCCAACTGCGTCACAAGACAAGCCCTCACATGGAGTCCTCAAGGCCAAAGTAGGAGAGGAAGACCAAAGAACACATTATGCCGAGAAATGGAGACAGACATAAGAAGAATGAACAACAGTTGTATAGAACTGGGAAGGAAGGCTCAGGACAGAGTCGGTTGGAGAATGCTGGTCGGCGGCCTATGCTTCATTGGGAGTAACAGGCTTAAGTAAGTAAGCCTTTTCCATCGATGGGTTGTTCTCCGCGTTAAATGTTGAACGTCTGTTTCTCCAGTTGTTTCGTGTTCAGTTTTGAGGATTGTGTGTTTAGGGCCCAGTGCCACAACACACTCACGGACATCTTTCAAGCAGCTGAAATACAGTTGTTTCTTTATTGCATATTCCAACTCTTGTAGAACGGTCAAACTACCAAACTCATCTCAAGAATATCGCATCCCATTTAGCTGTAGACTAGCTCAGTAAATGTACCCATTGATTGGTGTGCCCCAAGTTTCGCCTAGTCTGTAGTACCCAAAATACTTGTTCAACCGTGACGATCTTCAGCTAAACTGATTTTTATCTGCTTCCTTTGCGGGCCATTGTAAATGTACATACTAATGCCCTCCATAACTGCAAATGTTCCACACGTTGCAGTAGACTGCCTTCCCAATATTTAACAAAGCATCACTGCAGTCACCCGATAGGCAACTATGTAAAAAAAAGATTTTCAGTGATGAACTACACTAGCAATGTATTCGGTGCAGTGAATCATCAGCAAAATAAATTGTGTTTGGTCTGTCATTCATTTGTCCGATAACCACATATCGAATTCCCCAATGACCAACAGGGTCTCTTTGTCATTTGATCGAGTAAATTAAATACTGATTCCCCATCACAATTAAGTGCATTTTCCACAACATCACCATCACATTTACCGGATAAGGCAGTGGACAGTTTGATGATACTACTGTTATTGGTGTTGTTCAGTGAACCCACAGTCATCCATCCGCATGCCAAAGCTTACCCAAACATCGTCGAGTATAGGGGGAAAAGAAAAAAAATCAACCGTTCACAAGTTGAAGTTCCGTTCAAATGACAGGCTTCAGCCACTATTCAAAACACAAATAGTCACCATCAGGTACGTGAACTAAGTTTAAAAAACAGAAACAAACCGTTGAACTAGTGCCGAAGGAAACCATATCAATTAACGACTTCCGAAGTAAGTTTAGTGAAGGTCAACAAGTGAAACTTAGAATGATATCTGTGTGGTTTGTTGCTGGTGGTCTCATGAATAAGTTATTTTTAGATACCGGGGTTGAGGAATCGCGTAACGCCAGTGCGAACGTTTAACACAAGGTCGATTGATCACAAACCTTGTTTTAATCGTAACACCAATCCCTAAAAATACTTGCTAACCAGATCGAACGACAAAAACTTTACCAAAATGAATATCTATGAAACCATAAATTAATAAAAATCGTACACTAATTTGTGTAGCTCCCACATTGCTTGCTTATTCTTGTGCTGAATATGCAACGACTGAAAAATGTGGAACACATAAGCACTTATTAAAACTAGCGAGTATGTGTTAAAGTGAGATAACCTGGTATGCTTAGATAACACTCGATGGTCTTGAACTCACTTTCATTGATGCTACCATCACAACAAATTTCTGAGACAAACAGCTGGATAGATTTATGGAGTGCGACATTTGTTCATAACATTCATCTTAGAATAATGATTATTTTGGTTCGTATGTACGAATAACTTAAGGCACGACTGGTGGGTCGACTTGCTAGTTATTTGGGGGCAATTATCTGATGCTTTGTCATATTAGTTCGATCCTATCAAACAAAAGTGCTGTTTTAACCTGAGTTTCATCGCTTACGTAAGCCAAATATGAGATAAGAATGTATCGCTCACAATTACTTAACACTATCAAACCATCAGGTTTATTTGCAAGTGTACAGACTACCAAATAGTATTTCTGAAAGGCTCTAGGTCAGACGGTTTTTAAAATGTTCTGGATGTCCTAGCTACTTAAGTGGAGCCACAATAAAAACTCACCATGCCATCTAACCGAAAAAAAATATAAAGAACTCGAAAGAATTCCGAAAGGAGGGACCGAAATGTTATTGGAACTAAGGGATAAATCTTATTAGATTTGTAGAATTTTAGTCCACTTCTACATTAGTACTACTCTAATAATAGACTTAATCCTAAAATTGAAAATTTTTCATGATGTTACTGTCTAATCTATAAGATCTTACGTGTAAGTCATATCATGATGTGACTTGCATTTACTGGTATACCAGTAAATGCAGAGTACTAGTGGTGAAGGCTGTTGATACATCCAGTATCACACTGTACTACCCGAAGTAGATCATCATGTAGAGTTATTTTCAGCTCCAAGGTCCATTCCCATTAGCATTCTCCAACCAATAAGGCATACTCAATCGGTTTTTTTCCAGGATATTAGGCGGCTTGACCCCTTGATTATTATAGTTTTCGGTGGTGACTTAACTTCACATGAACGTACTTCTGCATCATGTCCCGCCTACCTTGAAGATGTCGCTTTCCTGGGAGGTTTTCAAATAAGAGTAATGGAGGGGTACTTGAACTAGAAAATAACTCGAACCCAACTTACCTGGGAGCTTTATATTTGTGACATGTGTTGCGTAGGAGAATTCATGGAGACATTATCTTTGTGCATCATATTGTTCGTAATTTTCATTTTAATAGGTAATAGTTATTAGATTACATTTCAAAGAACATTCACTCAGGATAACGTGCGTTAGTTCGCACGAAATCCATTCACACTTCGTGGTCAGGATTGGTAAGTTGTAGAACTCCTAAAGGTAATTGTAATAGTACCTTCTACTGAGTCCTTCATTGAGAGACGTGTAGCGTGGCGTCGAGTTGAGATTAACTATGAACACCGCTACAAAGAAACACGTGCCAAATAGATCAGAAGGCGAGGGTTGGACGTAACCAAATAGATCCGTAAAATCCCCGAGAAGCCAAATATCAGAAGGCAATTAATGGACCAAGTCGAGGTTTATTAGCTGGCGATCTCGTGGCATCGAAAGGATACCGAGATCGTGCCAGGATACAACCTTGGTTACAGAAGGTAACCGAATTCGCGCGAAGTTACAATCAAAGTGTAGGCGAAAGGATGGAAGCACAAAATAGCTGTCATTAGCACAGTCAAAAAAAGCACGTTAAAACAAACACTGGTACAGTTGGTTATAATAATAATTGTTTTTATTAAACCAGTCGTGTTCTCGTGATAAACGTGAGTCACTACAGACGTTTGCTTTAGTACCTATGCATTAAGTAGGATTACTCTAGTTGTTACTCATTGAGTACTTATTGACTTATTTGCTTCTGCCATTTGTTTTCAAAAGGAACATAACAGAGGTGTCTTTACGTAACTAGAAGCGGTCTCGTGCTACCAGGACGCGGATTCCAAGGACTTGACAACCCTCTAATTTGTCTTAGTAAGTTATAATGTTTTATATGATTTTACTTCTAGTTTTTGCATTGTGCTGCTTTTACTCACCATATCTCGAACTGTCTTGATATGTGTAGAAACATATGTGTTTACTCACGAAGCACTTACGAATTTAATTAAGCGAGGTATTTTGAAGATCCTTTTTATCCAAATCGTCTCAGCACAAGAAAGACAACTTAGTAGTATGGTTTACGTTTATTCCTCAAAGCTACAAAGACGGTTAGAATTTCAAGAGGTATTTGAGACATATCGATTTCCCTAATATTCCTAGTCGGTGGTAGATGCCCTTGGTTTTGAAGATGAAACACCCATAAAAATTAGACAGGACTCGTGTAATCTAGTTGTTGGTACTGATTGTTTGGGATTCGAATGGATAGACATACCTTTGTGTGTTAGTTTACGTTATTGACGTTTTCTTTTAATATGGTATATGAGATTTATTATCAAGAAGATATTTTTTCAAACCGCTCAGATTTGTTCCTGCATCGCTTCCCAGAAATAAGTTTAAGCAAGTGTGCCGATAACAATCTTGCTGGATTTTGTAAACATATGTGCAGTAGCACAAATATCCAGGAGCTATCATGATGAATAGTTGCAGTCATGACTGGTCACAATGAAATGAATGGATCAAGACGTTCAGGTGTCTCCAACATATAAACTGTTTTATGCACACAAAAAGCCATGTAGTAGCTAAATTTTGTGTAGATTATAGTTTATTACTGAAGTTATCAGTCACTTTATGGTGCTGAAATGGTTATCGGGATTTTATGTTTTGAATGTCTCAAGCATTATATAGCTTCTTTATCAGCTTTTGCAAATATTATGTTGATCTGAGAGTTTCGTTAGCTGTGAATTTTGAGTATTCATACTGTAAAATGTGATCGATAAACGAACCCACCAATAATAAAGGGAAACGCCCACCACCACATTAACTCCTTTTGACCTTGTACGACTGCATCCCTTTATTAACCAATCACAGTTTAATGTTCATTGTAAAACAATATTTGCTTGTTGACTCATTTTTCCTATTCTCTGGCTACTGTTCGGTAGGTTATTTGTCTCTTTTTCCCTGTATTAGTAGACTGTACTGTTCGTTTGCACACTAACGATGTTAATTTATGTTTTAGAAACAGATAAAGTTTATATAGCCAAATAGCTTACTTGTTCTGACTTTGGCCAAACCAAGACTCTGTACTCGACAGTCTAGAGATTAGTTTAGAGTTGAATTTGTGGGAAATTGCTTCCTACACATACGTCTAAAATATTCATACTGAATAAAGTCCATTAATAACTTTCTTACAAAACCGCGAGATTTATGTCAATATAGTTCTGTGAGCGAGTCGTATAATTTTGTACTAAGTACATAATATCTTTGTCCATTTATTAATCGAGTTTTTATCTGTGTACAAAACATCACAAATTTATTTATGTTACATCCTCTGGGAAGTACATCCTTTTATAGGATCAGAGAGTTTTATTTTTTTGTAGCGTCCACGTGTTTGTCCTTTTGCTATGTCTAACCGACGCTTCCTAGACTCATATGGGAAATCTTGTCCCAAATGGATTCCTGTGGCGTGCTGCTGCCTTCTGCATTTGTCTGGACTAGATGGTCTGTTTCTCACTCGCAGACCGTGGCATATGCGATCTTATCCAGGTGTCTGGGTTCCACCTGGAGGTCATTGTGAAGCTAAAGAACCTATTCAGGTGTGTTTCCTTAATCGATTTTTGTCCTTATTAGGAAATGACCATATTTTTTGCCTCAATAAAATTCTGTGTACTAATGTTTCAGTGCAGTACTTAGAAAAACAAGGTTTCCAGATATCTCAATTTATTTATTCACAAAAAGTAGTTTATTATGGATAAAGTATCCAATTAGAGGTTGGAATCTGCACGACTGTATCCAATATTATTTGTACGTCCACATCGTACGGGAGATTATATCATTCTTTATTTAGATTCAGTAACCCGAAGAATTCTTGGTTATCTGTTTCTCATCCTCTGTGTAGAGTGTTACTGCTATTAGAAAATAATTTATAATTTACGTCAACCCTGCTTTTAGAAGCAACCACTTTTGAACTTGCGAATGTCTATTTAGTTTTTTCCTGTATCTACATATCTGACCTACATATTTAGATTCCTAAGTAGCGTTATAATATCTATCGAAGGAACCTACCCATTCGTTCGCGTCCCCATTGCAGTCTGTGGTAACTTGGGCAGATATAAAAAAAATTTACAGTTCATCTTAGCGGTTACCTCTCACTTCAACCGAATTTCTCACCTTAAAAACTCATCAAAGTATGCCAAAAATTATGTCAGAACATTTGAACTTCCACTTTATCCCAAAACGTGTGTACACTGATTATACAGGATTTCTGAATGGGCATATGTGAAACATTTCTAATCAATACTGGGAGTTTATTTAGTAGATCCTCAAATATTCTTCAATAACGAGGCTTTTCAGTGCTCTGTTCAAGACTATCTAACATTTGGTTTGTACCAAATGTGCAAACACTTAAGTGAAAAATGTTAAAATATATACGTGACTTCAGAATAGATGATAAAGTTCTTTCATTGATCAACAAATATTTAGTTTCCTAGAGTTTATTGGTGTTGACCTATGGAAAGTAGAGTAATGTAAGAAATAATATGAACTATTTTACGATATAACATTCCCACGAATAACCTGTCGGTATAAATGATCACTCATCTACAGTATTCTAAAATATTTTTAGATAGAATAAAAATACCAGTTATCTGTGCTGCTGATGATTGTATAGTGATATAATTATGGCGTAATCCTTTACTTGTGTTACTAATCACAGGACACCGCATTTCGTGAACTCACAGAAGAGTTAGGATTACATTCGTATGGGAAAGAAAATGTAATGAATGAATGTACTATCAAACCACTCTGTGCATGGGAAGCTTCCTATCCTTCTCGTTTAGATACAGGAATCGGAAAGTCTACTATCTTTCCTAAATCTCATTATATGGTTATATATTACTCTGTTAATTGGTTTCGTTCCTCAACGTAACAATTATAATTTTCAGCTTTTTTTGTTTACTATTCAGATACGTGCGTATGTTTTTTCCTACCGTGATTTTAAATTTTAGGTAACTTTAAAGTGCATACTTCCCTTTTTACACAGTGTTAGATTACCATGCATATTCTGGATAATTGACATAGGTCTAGAGATTTTCGATCTATGTCAGCAACAAATGAGGTCAAATTTCTGATATATACTAGTCGAAATTCCAAATCCTGAGCACTAACCTTATGCTTAAAGTTAGTATTTTCAAGGAACAGGCGGTTATCTGAGCATAGCTGCAACAGACGGGCGACATTATCTGTTCGTTGAGCCATGACGCTATAAGATCCACCTAGGTGTCTTTCCCTTTCGCTTAGTTTACCTACTTGAGCATTAAAGTCACCGGCCACTATTACTACATCAGAGCGCCTAGCTTTTAGGAGGAGGTCGGAGAGCTTTCTGTAAAACTCATCTTTTACATCATCTGCGCTGCAGTCAGTGGGAGAATAGGCAGAGACGACGAAGAGGCAACGACGAGTGTCCCTATCTTTCCGAGTCCTTACTGTTCCGTTTAGTCGGACAGCGCACAGACGGCTGTCTACTGGGATCCAGTCTAAGAGAGCTAGTTCTGCCCTAAGATTCAATGCTATACCTACGCCAGCGAGTCCACGAAAAGCAGCATCTGGGCTTCCGGATACACGAAGTGTGAATCGAATCGGTTCTTTATTTTGGCATGGTGAGGTCAAGTGAATGACGCTACTCGGATCCTGTGTGCGCGTTTCGGAGACGCAGCACACATTGATGGTGCGAGATTTTAAAGTCTTAGCTAAGGAAGCTTGCTGTCCTATTTGGCAAAGTGTTCGTACGTTAAAAGCTCCTACGTGTAGTTTAGAGCGTGGTTTCAGGAGACCAGGAATAGCGTTCCACGTACTCGAATCGTTTGCCCTAGCGGTGCGAGGTGATAAAGAGACGTGAGAAGGGTTAGTCGGGGAGATAAGAGAGGTATTAGGAGGTGTAGGAAGGATTCGAATGTGACCAACTTGGTCTCGTGCGCTGTTACAGGTATGAGGGCTGATATCACTTCACGTCTGCCCACACCGTGGAAGGGTATTTCTTGAGGGACCTGAAAAAGAAGTCGGATTAGTGTTGGTCTTAACGACCTGGGAGCGTGACCGCAGAGCCCAAAGGACAACTGCTTGAGGCCGGTCTCGCACGGCCCTTTCGTGGAAGGTTTTTAATGTGTTAGCTCCGTTCTTCAAAGGGCCTTACTGCCTGAGACGGAAATCCGTAAGGTAAGGTGAGGTGTGACGTTTTTAGGGTCGACCTTTTCTAACCCCTTCCTTTCTTGTGGGAAGGCAGCATCGCTGCAGATGCTGGTTGTTTGAGGGAAACACCTTACTGCTGTCACACCTCTCTACAGTCAGCAGTACGGCTTCGCCCTCAGACCTTGAGTTGCTGCTTTTAGTCTTACCGTTCTCCAATCGACCTGCCTGACATGGTAGAACCTACAGGAACATATGTTCCAGCCAATATAGCTCGGTTGGGTCATCACGACAGGCAAGCGCGACCACCGCGTCAAGGTAGCAGCTACGGTCGGGAAAATAAGCATAAACTCCAGTCGTAGTCATTTCTTTTCAATTATGATTCTTTCGTAAGGTAGTTTCTCCGGGAACTGGAGAAAGTACAGATTTCGCTCAATGGTCTCGTACTGTAGTCCTTCTAGGTCATAAATGACGAGTAAAATTTCACTCCTTAAAATTTTCAGTTTATTTACTCCATAATACATTGGCCTTATATTCAGTTTGGTATTAAGCATATTGAGTAGTCCTAAACTCCATTCTTTTTCTAAATACTGTCTTTTGATTTTCTATAGATCTGTTTTAGATTCAGATGATATTCACTCATACTTACCACAATTTAACCTTGAAGTAAATGAAGTATGTGCAGCCGTTTGGCTCCCGAGACCTGTTCTCAATAAATTAAGTGATGATTGGAAGGCATTTGAAAAACATTTTCAAAATCAGTCCACAATCAGTAATTCGGAATATTTTTATCCCGAGTTATCAACGATGCCATCCACTTTCCAGATTGATAATGATCAAACAGAAGTTTGGTAAATTGAATGATTTTTATTTGTTTTCGTTAAGACATTTTTGTTGATTGTATAAAAGTATTTTCTGAAAAATTGTCTTTCATCATTTAGGGGAAAATCGCTGAACGCTTTAGTATAGTTTTTATCACTATTTACTTACGCTTGTTACCCCTTGTGGAATATAGGCCCCCAACCAGACATCTCCAACCTGTTCCGCCCTGGGCTCTCTTTCTTAATTGTTCCCAAGTGATGTCCGTTCTTTTAGTGTCTGTCTTCGACTCTCGACACAATGTGTTCTTTGGTCTTCCGCAATTCCTTTTGCCTTGAGGATTCCATGTTAGAGCAGGCTTTGTAGCGCAGTTTGATGATTCGCGCAATGTGTATCCTATTCCCTCTTTAGCTGGAATTTGTTGTTGCTGATGGTTTCTGATTAACGGATATGGAGTATCTTTCGTAGACGGCTGTTTATAAACACCTGTACCTTTCTGATGATGATTGTAGTTCTCCAAGTTTCAACTCTGTACAATAGAACTGTCTTGACGTTCGTATTGAAGGTTCTGATTTTTGTGTTGGCTGACTTTTGTTTTAAGTTCCAGATATTTCTATAATTACAGAAATGCCACCCTCTTGGTGCCATTCTAGGGTTACTGCCGGTCTCAGTCCCGGATAAAGGAGCGGGGTTTTGGATGGATTTAGCATCCTCATCTCTCAGAAACGAACCTTGCTGAAAATTGCTGAAGGTTTTTCATTCTTCTTGATTAAGAAGTTAACCGAACTCAAACATTATACCATACTTTATAATTTTCTGTTTCACATTTGTGTGAGCTTAAAGAGTGTACTCCGATAACGATGACCATGGGTTTCAGTCATCAAACAACAGGTGTATTGTCACAGTAATTGGAAATTGACCACTGCTGGTAAGCAACTGTCTTTTACCACTGTTCTCTATTTTTCTTTCACAAATTGTGAAATATTATATCAAGGCAATAAAACGTCCATTTTTGAATAAAAAGTTTTCTGGATTTTCTACATTTTTAGGTATTGGGGTGTAAACTCTCTTGATTGGCAATCGGTACCCGTGAATCAACTTATTTGTGGACTAACATCAAGTCGCAGTCCAACTGTTTCACACAATACCAGACCTGAATCCGAAGTTGGTAATGGACCTAGTCCTGTAACACTGGGGACATTGTATGCTATTAGTCATTGGCTTTCATCAACCAGTACTAGAAGTACTGTTTGAAATTGTTTTCGTCAATTAATTTTCTAACTAATACTTGTATACCTTCATTTTTTTCATTCTTCGCTGAGAAGGTTGGTACAAATTATTGTACGATATTCCTTGTCTGGTACCTTAGTAAGTGTTTAAATATATCCCTTTTTGAACTAAAAAATTCCGACCGTAGATGCTGCCTTGACGTGGTGGTTGGGATCGCCTATCGTGATGACTCAACCGAGCTACCTCGGCTGGAACAAACGTTCCTTTAGGCCCTACCATGTCAGCTTGAAGAACGTTAAGACAGCAACTGAAGGTCCGAGGGCAAAGTCGTACTGCCAACTGTGGAGAGGTGCGACATCCGTAAGGTGTTTCTCGGCATCTGCAGCGATGCTGCCTTCTCACAACGGAAGGAAGAGATCAGACAAAGAGGCCGTGTGTGACCGGCTTTAAGCAGTTGTCCCTTGAGCTCTACAATCACTCTCTCAGGTCGCTCAGACCACCACTAATTCAGCTTTTGTTCAGGTCCCTTAAGAAGAAATATCCTTACACGGTGTGGGCAGCCAGGAAGTAACAACCGCCCTCATATCTCTATCAGCGCCCGAGATAATCTCGAATCCCTCACCTCTTATTAAGTATTCCATCCTCATGGTTAACCTTCCTTGTATATCTTTTCCACTACACTCTAAAGCACATGTTGGAGCTTATCGGCATTAATACCAAGGTTGAACTTGATAGTTTCAAATAAATTGAGCATTGCGTAGAGTTAATAATAAATGTATTTTTGTTATATCCCAATGAGCATAAAAATTGTATTCCTAACGTTCCGTGACTTAGTGTAAGCCACTTCAGAGTAAATAAACAGGCTATGAGGACAGTCCACGAGTGGCCGAAACCGGACGGGCCTTGGCAAACAATACACGCTGATTTCGCCGGACCAATACAAGGCAGAAATTACTTGGTTGTTGTCAATGCTTTCACAAAATGGTCACTAGTATATGACATGCTGAAAACGACACCAGAGAGTACAATTTGAAGATTCTCAGGGTTGTTTGCCTGTTTTGGGGTTCCGAAGATCTTGGTGACTGACAACGGCATTCAGTTCATGTCATCCGCTTTTAGACGCTTTCGCAGGGAAAATGGCATATCGCATCTACAATCTCCTCCGTACCATCCTCAGTCGAATGGCCAAGCAGAAAGGTTCGAGGATACGATAAAAAGAGCTCTGGTCAAAGCGGGAGGTGAGGGTATTCCAGAACAAGTGATCAGTAAGTTCCTAGTGTCTTACAGAGTTACCCCTAGTCCGGCAGTACCAGAAGCAAAGTCACCAGCCGAGTGTATGTTCGGAAGGAAAATCTGGACAGTCTTTAGCAGTATACTGCCGCGCAGAACGACAAATAAACCCACGAATAAGTATCGTACGGTCACTCATAGCTTTCAGATGGGTGAAAGGGTACTTGTCAAATTGTATCAAGGTAATAGGAAGTGGGAACCAGGTATCATAGAACGTTGGATCAGAAATGTACTGTACCGAGTCCGGGAAAATGTATAAGACACAAATCAAATCCAAAGAGACGGCAGAACATATTTGTCCCACGAAGATGACTCCCATTTCATTTGCTCGTGGATTCATCTCGGAAAAGCCCTCAGGAGCGCGAATATAGAAGAGATAAACGACGTAAGGGCAAAGCTGTGCAACCTTTTAGAGTGGTGGACTGCAAAAGAAATTCGGCAACCAACTTTCAGGTGGATCCGGGAAAAAAGTCTTACACAACAGACTTAAAAGGGGGGGGTGTGAGGGCGGTCCACGGGTGAACTCGAGGAAGCCTTAAGAAGTTCAGAAAAAGCCGAAGATGTTCCATCCAATCATCTATTGGAGTAATATTCTAGAATCTCCACATGTAGCTTCCCGATTGGACAATGCTAATAACCCTTTTGTGTATGGATTGGATAGCTATAATAATGATTTCGTTTTTACTAAAAACTATAAATACTTAACAGTTTGTACTCTAACTTGACACTGTCTGGAATAACTTCCCTTTCACTAGTCTTCTGTCTTCTCATTGCGACTTGGGATGGTTCTAGCGTTCTAGTGTTCACGTTATACGCGGTATATCAATATAAGCATCTAAATATAGCAAGCAAAAATAAATGAACAGAAGTTTAAATAGTATGTTTCTTTTGCACTATTTGAGCTTGTGTTAATTTAATTTGGGTCATTTGTTTACTCTGAAGAAACGGCCTACACCGAGTCACGAAACATCAGAAGTACAGTTTTTATGCTCATTTGGACATAACCAAAACACATTTATTATTACATGTTGGAGCATTTGATGTTCGAACCTTGTGTCAGATAAGATAATAGGCTTCCTTAGCTAGGATTCTTGAACACTGCGCCATCGATGTATGTTTCGTCTCTGAAACGCGCTTACAGGATCTAACCACAGTCATTCATTTGGCCTCATCTTGTCAATAAAAAAACCCGAACTACCTACCCTTCGAGCATCTGGAGATCCTATTGCTAGTGTAGATATAGCGTTAAGTTCAAAAGCAGAACATGTTCTATTAGACTGGACTCCAATAGACAGTATCTTGTGCTCCGTGCAAATAAACGGGACCCTAAGCACTCGAAAAGATAGACACACACACTGTTACCTTTTCGTCGTTTCTCCCTATGCTCCCACTGCTTGCAGCTCAGATGAAGTTAAAGATGAATTTTATAAGAAGCTATTCAACATCATTCAAAAAACTAAACGCTCTGATGTAGCAATAGTGGCATGTGATTTTAATGCTCAAGTAGGTAAAATAAACCAAACCAAAAAACACTTAGGTGGATCTTACGGTGGTCGGGCTTGCCTATCGTGATGACCCAACCGAGCTACCTCGGCTGGAACAAACGTTCCTTTAGGCCCTACCATGTCAGCTTGAAGAACGTTAAGACAGCAAATCAGGGTCTGAGGGCGAAGCCGTACTGCTGACTGTAGAGAGGTGTGACAGCAGTAAGGTGTTTCCCTCAAACAACCAGCATCTGCAGCGATGCTGCCTTCCCACAAGGAAGGAAGGGGTTAGAAAAGGTCGACCCTAAAAACGTCACACCTCACCTTACCTTACGGATTTCCGTCTCAGGCAGTAAGGCCCTTTGAAGAACGGAGCTAACACATTAAAAACCCACGAAAGGGCCGTGCGAGACCGGCCTCAAGCAGTTGTCCTTTGGGCTCTGCGGTCACGCTCCCAGGTCGTTAAGACCAACACTAATCCGACTTCTTTTTCAGGTCCCTCAAGAAATACCCTTCCACGGTGTGGGCAGACGTGAAGTGATATCAGCCCTCATACCTGTAACAGCGCACGAGACCAAGTTGGTCACATTCGAATCCTTCCTACACCTCCTAATACCTCTCTTATCTCCCCGACTAACCCTTCTCACGTCTCTTTATCACCTCGCACCGCTAGGGCAAACGATTCGAGTACGTGGAACGCTATTCCTGGTCTCCTGAAACCACGCTCTAAACTACACGTAGGAGCTTTTAACGTACGAACACTTTGCCAAATAGGACAGCAAGCTTCCTTAGCTAAGACTTTAAAATCTCGCACCATCAATGTGTGCTGCGTCTCCGAAACGCGCACACAGGATCCGAGTAGCGTCATTCACTTGACCTCACCATGCCAAAATAAAGAACCGATTCGATTCACACTTCGTGTATCCGGAAGCCCAGATGCTGCTTTTCGTGGACTCGCTGGCGTAGGTATAGCATTGAATCTTAGGGCAGAACTAGCTCTCTTAGACTGGATCCCAGTAGACAGCCGTCTGTGCGCTGTCCGACTAAACGGAACAGTAAGGACTCGGAAAGATAGGGACACTCGTCGTTGCCTCTTCGTCGTCTCTGCCTATTCTCCCACTGACTGCAGCGCAGATGATGTAAAAGATGAGTTTTACAGAAAGCTCTCCGACCTCCTCCTAAAAGCTAGGCGCTCTGATGTAGTAATAGTGGCCGGTGACTTTAATGCTCAAGTAGGTAAACTAAGCGAAAGGGAAAGACACCTAGGTGGATCTTATAGCGTCATGGCTCAACGAACAGATAATGTCGCCCGTCTGTTGCAGCTATGCTCAGATAACCGCCTGTTCCTTGCAAATACTAACTTTAAGCATAAGCAAAAACATCTTTTAACATGGCGACCCCCTAATTCGTCCCAACGTTGGACCCAAATAGATCACATCGCTATCAGCCACCGATGGAGGGGCTCGATAGAAGACTGTCGCTCATATATATCCTGTGACCATCGAGTAAGTAATTCTGTTGTTAGGAAACGGGTACTAGTTAAGGATGGCAAATCAATTGATGACGTAGCGAAACTTCATCAGTTGAGATGGCTGGGACACGTGTTACGTATGCCCAACGACCGACTGCCCCGACGTGCGATGTTTTCTCGTACAGGAGTAGGTTGGAAGAAAGTTAGAGGCGGCCAAACCAAAACATGGCACAAGTCCATGAAGTCACTGACAAGTGGTCTGAGCCATGTCGCTAGGTGCAGACTTCCTGGTTTGGGACCGCGAGATGATAGCAACCGATGGTTAGAGATCCTGTATCACATGGCTCAAAATCGTTTGCAATGCCGCAGGTGCGAACACTCTTTGTGTTCTCCCAAATTTTAACCTCCTGATTCCTCCTTGTCTCTTTCTCTTCCCAAATTTATTTCACTGGTTTATACTCCTTGAATAACATCTTCGAACCTTAGTGTTTTCGACTACTGCTTATACTTGTTGGGGTGATCCAGAAATCGTTTGCGAAAGACGAGCAAGCATGAAGAAACATTAAGAAGTGTTCCGTCCAATCAGCGTTTGCTTGGAGTTTTGGCCAGAAATATCAAGGTAGCGAAACGTCACATGCGGAAGTTCTGATTGGTTGGCTACTGCAGTGCTACTATGTTTTGTAGCATTCCAGCGACCCAAGGACACTTAAAATATTATAAAAACCCTATATTTTCTGTAATAGAGTGAACCTTGGAGTAAAGTATTTTCCCTCATACTTGCGTCTTCTCTCTGGTGTTCATGTCGCTGTGTAGTTCTAGCTTGCGGGTTACCAGAATAGCTTAGGAAACTAATATAGCGTTCAATCGATAAGACTTATCAATACTCTATCACTAAGGGATTTGAATTGACGATTGTATCTCTGTGCCAATATGATATGGCGACTCGAAGTGATGTACGTACGTACAGTTTACATTGTTGAGTGGCTGACCTGAGTTCTTTGCTATGTTTGATTCTACCTACTTCTGTGATGTATACTTCTGGTCGATCAGATCAACTCCGGCAACTGATTTCACAAAAGGATTGTAGTCCTTTACTATGGTCATTAAGAATAGAGGATATTTTTAATTTACTAGTATTCAGTCACATGTGCCTCCAAAGCATTGCTCGTGTGCTTCGGGTCAACTGAGTGAGTAATGTTGAAGTTAGATGTAGAACACTAGTTCAAGATAACAAACTGGTTGATGAAATAGTGAATCTTCATCGACTGAGGTGGTTGTGGCATGTGTTATATATGTCTGGCCACTGCTTGTCTCGACCGGTAATATCTGGTGTAAGAGTACGCTGAAAGAAAGGTAAGGATGGCCAAACTAAGACCTAACAATTAGTCCATGAAGTTATTGTCTGTTGATCCGAGCCATGTTGGTAGATGCGGATTACATGGTTAGGGTCCATACGATAACTGGGATCAAAGATTAATGATATTGGGCAACGCGGTTCGAAATAGATCACAATGGCCCGGGTAATATCACTGTCTTTCCTTAGATCATTGATCTCGGAATTATCGTGTCCTTTTATGTTCCAAAAACCCATATATTCTCAGGTCATGTCATTTAAGCCTTGTCTTTACTGCTAACGCTGATACTCTTACTACTTCGACTTTTCCAGCATTTCGCTGTGTTGTTGTAACTCGAATTGATGCAAATATGTGTTAGGTTCTACTTTGCATATGACTGAATTCATAAACACTAGGCATAGTTTATAATATATCAAAATTTACATGGCTGGGAAGTAGTAGGAATCTTCTTTACGGACATAATTTTGATGAAAATGGGATTAACAATCGGTCATATTCAGCATAAACCCTAGCACAAATGTGGGTATGAGTAAGTGTTAGATCCTAGTGAAGATTAAATTATAGGTAACTTCTGAGAACTATTAATGGACCAATATTATATATATATATATATATATATTCAGTAACTAAATTATGTATATCCATATTCCTGTTATTATAAGCTTTATTTTGACCTATAGACTATTATGATACGATTTACTGTTCTTAAATTATACTTAGTTTATTACTTACCGTCACCCACAATCATAGCCACTTTTTGGCTTGATTTTGTACAAATTTTATTTTCTATTTTATGATGTGATATGGTCTGTTTGACTTGTATATAAACCAGACATGTTTGAAATAAATGATTCTTATGATGTGAGCTGGTATTGGTGTTCTGTTCCCAACTGGCAGGCTAGGAGGGAAAAGGAGCAATAAGGACGTTAGGCTGTTCATACCGGTCGGTACGTTATTGGTTTAGCATAGTGCTAAGATTGTATAAATCTATTCTGGTTGGCGAATAAGTCATGTGATAATTAGGTGGGCTAAAGTCGCAAAAGTAAGTTCTCATAAAACATCTGCACAGCCATATTAAATTAAAAAGATGAATGCCAATGAAGTACTAGTATCAATAAATGTGGGAAAGAGTAGTCATCGAGAAAAATGGTTCAATAAAGTGTATTTGTGAAGGACTGTGCCCCCAAATGCCCTGGTGCGGCCTAGGGTGGGGAGAGTAGGCTCTCCCTCTCGAAATACTCTCATATGGCTACGCATATATAGCCACGGTCAGGAAAGTCCTACTCACTACCTTATCGCGTGGGGGGTGTTGTTTACAAAATCGAGAGGATGAAAAGCAAATGTCCGGCGCTTTAACCGGGTTGGTGGACGCGGAGGGTCCACCTATTGGAGTTGGAAAGCCCTGATTCCGAACCAATGGCCCGCACGGGGTCCAGGACCCTGAGGGATCAAATGGCGTATGAACCAATTGCCGACCACCGGCTACCATGGAACTGCATCTTCCGACGTTGCTAAACTGTCTTGTGGATTAGACTTTTAGATCGAAGGCCCCCTAAGGAAACCACCTACTCAGGTTTGGGCACTCGGGCAGTGTCACAGCCCACACACAAATCAAGTGAATGTGCGGCGCATATGTAATCCGTGCCCCTTTGTACCAATATTTGTGTTCAAATAAATAATAAAGAACTGTAGGGACTGAAGATCTAAGGAAGGATAAAAGAGTGGATGTATTTGGAACATATCACCAAATATTTTCAATCATTGATCGTTGTTATAGTAATCTGCACTTAACAACATGGCTTAGGCTGGCAGTTCATTGTTTCATGAACTGATACCATATCATAGTTTGGCTACACCTACCCTTGTTTTAACGTATTTTTACTACAGCCAACATTGTATGTCAACAAAGGCAGTGGTTCGGGATATGTAAGGCATGCTCGTTAGTCTTATACAACGTAGAACTTGGGATGAAAAGTCAAAATTAGATTGATTTACTCATTATGATTTTCGTTTAACATTAATTCCGTTTTAATTCAATGTGACGATTGCTCAGTATAGTATTTGTTTTGTTTTCCCGTATGACATTTTATTCTGTATAACATACGATATTCTTGTATTAAGTTAACATGAACAATACTCCACATATGATTTGTTACAACTAAGTATTTTTCATATATATGATTTTATTCTAATTTTTAATCAAGAACGGGTCTATGAATCAATATATAAGTGAGTGTATTTCCGACTAGTCTTGTCGAGGTTGTTTGTGGAATATATTTGTCTCTTCCGAACTTGGACTTCTCTCTCTAGTTCGCGGGGTTGGGACGCGTCGGAATAGCTAGCCTATCTGTGATTGTATCACATAGTCTTCGTTCCGTTTTTAGATTAGGCGAACCCGTAATATCTTCAAACATAACAGTGTACATTGATTTAACATGCCACACAGCGACATGGAAATGTCATGGAATATCGTAGAGTAATAGGGACAGTAACCATATTCTTAGTTGTAATAGAACATTCAAGTTTACATTTATCTATGTTCCAAATAAGTTTAAACTCTTTACATAAGAACTAACAAATGAAGACAATTGAAACAATCACAATGTATCTAAATAAGTATAGTTAGCGAAGCCACGTAGAAGTCTTTCGTCATTTAGAAAACATCACATTTGGGACTGAAGATAGTGACTGATAAACTCCGCTGGATCGTTCGGGTTTATAACTTTCCAATCCGGAAACCACCACTTTAAGTCACCTAGTTTATCCGTAAGTAAGTTTTCTAAGATCCTTGCCAAAAACTCAGATCCTTTTCTAGAAAAGTGTAAACCGTCTGAAAGAAAAGACTCCCAATTCTGAAAAGGAAAAGACTCATTTAATTTTTGAGGAGTTTGATTTACAACTAAATAACATTATTAAAATGGTATCTTTGGATGAATATATTATGTGAATAACCGAAGTCAAACACTTGCTGACATCTAGACAAATAAAAAGGGTTTTGCTTTCAGATAAGCATGCAAAAGCCATTGATCAAAACACCAAAAGCTAGGATTAGTGGCTTATAACACCTGACGACTTGGAACCTCATTACTACCTACATTTTTAAACGACTTTACAAGTTGTTTTCTATTTTGGCTGGACATGTATCACTGAAAGTAGACAAATAGAAGATTAAAAACCATTTTAATGATTAAAAATAGCACTAAGGCAAATGATTTCTTGAATAATGAGTACTTCCTTTAGTGAATCTTGAATTTAGTCTTGAAAAGACATTCCACTTATATACCTGATCCAGTCTGCTTTAATTCCCTTTTTATTGAACTAAGTCGTGAAGAGAAATTCCTCGAGCGGGTTTTAAAATACTTTAGTTATGTAATATGTTTTGTCGAATACTTTAGCCTTTGTAACGTACTATCACTTATTAGCTGTCTGCTTTTATCGTAAACAAGACCGGATAGTAGTAGAAAGAGCCGTCAAAAATCAACCAGTAATCTTCGACTAGTAAACATAAGCAGTCCAGACACAGTCGCCTAATATTCAGGATATTCTCACAGAGTAACCTTTCAATTCACTGATATACAACTACTAAACAGAAACATTTGGGACAATGGTCGGTATATCTTATTTGCCGAAAAGTTTTTTATAAATTGTGTACGCAAAGACTTATGCTTCCATTATTCAAAAATATCGAACTTATTAGAAGAGGAACTTACCTTTTGCATTAACATAGCTTCATATAAATTCACAAAACTAACTTCATTGATGTTGGCAACCTCTTGACATGCAATTGCATAGGTCGCACAAGTATCTAGTCTTCGTGTAATTGCCCTTCCTAAAAAACCAAGTGTAAATTCCTTATACAAATGACTTTCAACGTTAATTTTATTAAAATGCGGTTGAAAGAGATACCAAATTAATGGGTACAGACACAGAAGTTTAAGATAAGTATTCTTTATGACACTTTCGTGTATACAATTCGTTATCTTTGCTTTCATAACCGTTTTACGAAGTATTTTTAGTTTAACCAATGCTTTCAATCATTATATATATATAATGCAATATAATATAATATAAAAAACTAAATTTCTGAGTCACCTTTAGCTATTTCAATAGCACCCCATTTATTCTCATCAATAGGAGGTAAACTGATTAGTGAAATGTGATCCGTAGGCACGTCCAATTTCTATTATTGGAAAGAAAATCAATTGAGTAACAGATTAGAGGACAAAAGTTAGTGACAAATAATAATTACACTTGGCGAAACAACATTCAGTGATATACTGTTTTAGAGACGTTTGAAATTGAGAACATTTACTCCTCTCTCAAAGTTGCAACACTTCTTGTTTTTATGTTAAGCTGAAAGGTGAGTTGAATTCAAAAAAAGGTCTCAATTCTGTGTTAAGAAACTTTTCGTTATATATATATTTACTTCGTGTAAGCGAAAATGTTACCGGTAGTCCACTTATCTGATATGCTAATTGAAGGTGGATGACGTGCACATTCACTTCTTCCAATCGCTTATGACATTTTATCATGCTATTTTTGTGCTAAGATTTCGCATATAAACATTTTATTATATAGAAAATCTATTGTTCTGGCTTGTTTTCGACCTTAAGTCATTTAGAGACTTACATCAATTATTTGATCTCGTGAGCAGCCATCACTCGATCAAGCATACAGTCTGTTGATTAACATTCTTTGCACCCAATTAATAATCCAAAAAGCCCGTTTATAGAAGCCTACTTCATAGGTTTCACACAAATCATAAAAAAATCTGATAGAAACTACTTTCATAATTCTTTATTAAACCTCATAAAACATACATGAATATATTCAATCATCCAACTTAGATTACTTTTGTATTCTTCAACTGGTACATGCTGTTGTGGAGTGGCACAAGCATCATTAGCTCCGAGAAAAATAGTGAAAAATTTACAATCCTTTAGTGAGTCCTTATTTGGATAGAGGATTGGAAGTAATGGTTTGCACAAACGAGTGTTATAACCAGAATAACCTCTCCCAACAATATCTATCTTCCTGAAATTAATAACAAATCTAGTTAAGAATTAATTATCGGTATGATTTAAGTGTTGCTGACTGATTTAATTTACTTCCTCATAATCAGTTCTTTATCAAAACTAGTCCACACAACCTCCATTTTGAGTGATAAGGGATTTCTGAAGAAAAAAACATGATTTCCAATTACGATTTGCTGATTAATTGTCCTTGGATTTGACTTTTCGTATCCCTGTTTGATGTGATTTTATAGCGATGTTAGCATTTAAGCTTTGACCACTGGATTGGGACGTTCAAATTAATTCCAGGCATTAAGTCCTGCAAATTATTTTTGATTTATAGTGCGATAGACGGATATCTACTTGTTTACTGAGTTAGATTTATGTACCTAAAATTTAGAGCTACGTATTAACTCGGGTGAATTTTTTATGTTTAAGTGGCGTAAATTGGATGTTTAACTTCAGTTTATTTATTTTATAACCACAGAATAAACATCAAGAGTTTTCACATTAATGATATAAATATGATAGTAATAATTCACGATACTAACCAAATACGAGATCCAACACTCAGTTGAAGTCTGTATTGCTGGGAAATAGACAGACTACCCATCTGATCAATTCAAAGTAGATAGGACGTGGGACGAACCTGGAATCTAATCGTTTTAAATTTAGTCCTTTATTCACAAACATATTGCTTCATATAATTGAAGATATTATCTTTGGTATTATACAGGCCATCAGTCGAAAACTTTACTAGTCATTTTGTATTTAAATATTAAACAACTAAGCTAAGTACTGTTGGAAAGGGAGAAACCCATCTTAGCATACAAAACAACTCGATTCAAATGGTCGATTACATAACAACCTTTTAAATCGGTCACAAATAAACATCTCCAAGTAAAGCAGATTGCATATGAGTGTGTAAAAAACAATATAGTTGGAAGAAACTCGATGTTAACGAGTTAGAACAGAAAAGTTAATGGAGTATGAAGTACCAGGTTTTAGATTTGTAAGATAAATAATGAATACATCTGCTCTAGTGTAACTGACTTCGAGTAACCTTAGCTTTTTTGAATCCAGAATGATTTTTGGTCGTAGGATTTGCCACTAATCCACTACTCAATATGACAAATCAACTGATGAGGAGTCAACCTAAACTTTACTAAGAAATTGCAGACACGATATTGCAAACGAGCGTGTACTATTTGACGGTTCCTACAAAATTACCAAGGTTAACTTGCAAAACTGTAATGACCACATGCGATATTTAAACAATTGTCGCTCTAGATAAACGACAGTCGATTTCCTTGTAGTTAGTGAATATAATTGCATATTAAGACTGTAAGGGCGAAAGTCAGTGATTAAATATACACAACCTACCTGACAAAAGTTGATGCCAGGATTGATAACCAACCACCTTCATGAGTCCAACCAAACTGAAACAAAATGAACACAATCAGGAAGATTCATGAGATAAAATAACTTATTAACGACAACAAACATTTGGTGGCATATCCAAGACAACAAAGGCACATGGCGATTGGAACTCCACGATATCGAGAAGCAGAATATTTCAATTTATAGTTTCAACACTTGTTTGCACAGCACTTACGGTATTTCATTAAACCTATTTTCTCCAATGCAAATGTAACAAATCACTTTGTTATCATTTATCCTACATTATAAATTTGCTTGAAGAGCATTACATCATGTTGCAGTAAAACAAAAGCTCGATTTTCAAGACATTGTACAGTGAACGAGAACTCAAACGGAAAAAGCCAATCTATTGTTTAATACAAATTACAGAATGTCTTCGTAAAATATGAAAACCTTACAATAAATACTTCATTTGCACATCTCCCATCAACTGTCTCTTACAAACTTAATCGTCCTTCCATTCCTGTTATTATTACAATTACTCTCTATTTGCATTTCTGTTCTCTTCAATTCGATCTTTTTAACCTTCTGCTACCAGGCATTTCACTTGTGGTTAGTGTCATATACTACTTATGTCGACACAACTGTCCTCTAAACAATCCAAGAGCAAACTGTCGCAAATGGTTTAGGGACCGCAATAAAATTCATTTTGTTCTGTAAAATTGATACGTAAGTGATTCGATTACTTGTAAAGAAAATAATTTAAGCGGTAATGTATTTACGATATTTTCCCACAAAGCTTTGTAACAATATACAAATATTTATTCAAAACATTTGAAACGCTGCGGTAATGGGATTATATTTCGTTCAAGTCAGGGTGACACTTGAAATCACTAACAGGGGTCTAATATCTGTTATTGCCACGTGACAACCACTTTTATAGAGGTCGCACCGACCCACACAACAGAGAAAAAGTGCTGTCCGTTATAAGAGCTTTTACTGTCACCAGAAACGGCCTAATACGTGGTACATATATCTTATGTGCATAGCTAATACATGAGCACAGAAAAACAATGATTTAACCCATTAAAAAGTTGAGTAAATAAACAGAGAATTACTTTCCATGACTAACCGATTTCTAAACCTAATCTTTGTACAACTTATCGGTCATTTCGTCCGAGCTTCACTTAGTTGCGTACAGACAGCAACGACAAAAACCAACAGTGTGTCCCTAACCTTCAGAGTTCCAAATTTTCCACTTGGTCGTACAGCATATAAGCGATTGTCGACAAAAATCAAATAAAGGGGTACTCGTCCTAATGTAGAACCTGGTGTTATTCCTGCATCTACTAGACCACGAGGAATTTTAGTCGCGTCTCCAGATACAAGAAGGGTATATTCCTTTGGCTCTAGATACTGACTACTTGAGGTCAAGTAGTTGACCATGTTGTGATCCTGCATGGGTGTTTGGGAAACAACTTATGTCGATGGTACGAAATCTTAGATAGTGATATCTGTTGCTGGAATTAACAGAGTTCATGTGCTGATAGCTCCATCATGCAGTTCGGAATGGGGTTTTGGGAAACTTAGGTGTGGTATTTGTACTACTTGATGATTCCCTTATACTTGATTTCGCAGTTAATTCGAATTTCAAATACAATAGGTTCAGTTACATTCGATGAGTTTTATTTACCCTAAGTAAGACTATTCTGGGAAAACATCAATTCGATTGCTTTTAATTATCATACTGAGATAGAATTTCGCGAACTTGAATTGTCGGCATTAGTAGTAAGTATGGATGAATCCGAAGATGAGGGTTAAAAAATGGAAATATTGAGGTGATCTTGAGTGATGTTACTTCTTAAAATACCAGAAGAGGGAACTGAATTAGTAGTGGTTTTAACGATTGATTAAGCCTAGCCACACACGACCTTTTCATTTTTAGTTTCTAGCATTAGCTTTTTAAACCCGAGATGGAAGTTCGTAGGGCGCGTGAGATTTGACATTTTTGGTCCAGACTTCTTTTGCTTCCTACCTGTTGTGAGGTGACATTGCTGAATATCTACGTTGTCTGGAGAAGACATTTTACTGCAGTCACACTCGTGGGCAGTCGGTAGTACGGACTATGGCTTTAAACTTGCGGCTTTTAGTGTTACCACACTAGAGTCAGTCAGTAACAACGTAGAACTTCGTACGTACGTACATCAGTTCGAGTTGCCACACCACATTAGCACACAGATGCAGTGGTCGATTTAAATCCCGTAGTGGTAGAGGTAGTAAGAGTATAAGCAGTAATCGGGAAGATTAGGGTTTGGAGATGTTATTCAAGGAGTATAATACAGTGAACTAAATTTGAGAGGAGAAAAAAAAAGACAAGGAGGAATAAGGAGATCAAAATTTGGGAGAACACAAAGAGTGTATGCACCTGCGCCATTGCAAACGATTTTGAGCCATGTCATTCAGGGTCTCTAACCATCGGTTGCTATCATCCCGCGGTCTCCAACCATGTAGTCTACACCTACCAACATGACTCAGTCCACTTGTCAGTGACTTCATGGACTTGTGCCATGTTTTAGTCTGGCCGCCTCTTGCTTTCTTCCAACCTACTCCTATACCACTGAACATAGCACGTCGGGGCAGTCGGTGGTTGGGCATACGTAACACGTGTCCCAGCCATCTCAACTGATGAAGTTTCACTACGTCATCAATTGATTTACCATCCTTACCTAGTACCCATTTCCTAACAAATGAGTTACTTATCCGGTGGTCCCAGGATATACGAGCAATATTTCGAAGACACCTATGATCAAATACTAGTAACCTACGAATATCCTCTACTCTTACCGGCCATGTTTCACTGCCATAAAGTAGGACGGAACGAACTGCTGCGCAGTAAACCCGTCCTTTGGTTGATAGACGGATATCTCGCCTACGCCATAAATGACGCAAGTTGGTAAAAGCTACTCTAGCCTTCTGTATCCGTGCTGAGATTTGGTCACACACCGGACCACAAGGGCTAATGAGACTTCCAAGATAAATGAAGCGGTCGACACGCTCAACTACTTCACTCCCTATCACTAGTTTGGGTGTCGATGTAACCCAATCCTGAAGTAACATTTTGCATTTCGAGGGAGAGAATCTCATCCCGAACATGCTTTGATTGTTGCTTAGAGTGGTCAGAAGACTCTGCATTTTGTCAGCGTCTTCACCAAACAAAACTATGTCATCTGAATATTTTAAGTCAACAAGTGAATCTCCCGGTAGAAGTTCAACCCCTGGAAATGTAGATGAGGAAAGTTTCATCTCTAAAAGCACGTCAACGAAAGAGTTAAACAAGAATGGAGAGAGTGGACAACCCTGACGAACACCACTTGAGGTAATCAATTCTGACAACAGTTCGCCATAAGCTTTGACTCGGCTAGTTGTGCTCGAGTAAAGAGCCTTTGTAAGGTTAGTGTACTTCTTTGGTACTCCTTTCAGTGACAAACACTGCCATAGAACCTCACGATCAACCGAGTCAAATGCCGCCTCAAGGTTGAGAAATACCACTGTTGTAGGACTTCTGAATGTGTGTCTGTGTTCTAGAACCTGACCTAGTGTGAATACCTGGTCTATGCAGCCACGTCCAGGTCGTAAACCAGCCTGGTTTTCTCTAGTCTGCTCTGCACGAGCTTTAGTTAGGCGTCGTAGTATTATTGAAGCTAATATTTTAGACACTATATTAGTCAAACTGATTCCTTTGTGATTGTCACAAGAGGACTTTTGTCCTTTTTATAGACTGGCACAATCAGTGATTGAGACCAGTTCCCAAATTCTACCTAAGACCTCAGTTAATCTCACTGCTGATACTGGACCTCAATCCTTAAAAATCTCAGGAGTAAACCTGTCAGGGCGTGCTGCTCTCACACGCTTCAAAATTCTCATGGCCTTTTCAACTTCGTAGAGTTGGGGGACTTACATCAACTTGCCAATTAGGTCGACTGGAGATCGTGGGAAACCGAAGTGTGGCTGAAGGCCACTTGGGCTGATCCCTTACCTCACTACAGTCAGCAGTACGGCTTCGCCCTCAGACCTTGAGTTGCTGCTCTTAGTCTTACCGTTCTCCAATCGACCTGCCTGACATGGTAGAACTTACAGGAACATAAGTTCCAGCCAACATAGCTTGGTCGAGTCATCACGACAGGCAAGCCCGAC